ATTTTTTTTTTTTTTTTTTCAAAGAGGAAGGGTATTTTAATGGCCGACAATAACCTATGTGCTGATTGATTGGCAATATAAAGTGTTTTTACAATGCGACAGTCCTTATTAAGTAATTCACCATGTCATCAGTTAGTTTCTGTTTTCTTACCATTAACTTAACTTAGAGCTGTAGGATAATTTGCAATGATCAATCATTTCACTTTGAATTGTTGGCATATAAATTTAGAAAAGTGAGGAATTGCAGAATTATTATCAATTGTTACTAATTAACTCTTCATTTAGTTCTTTCAAATGATTCATACTTATTTTTTATTCAATTTTGTCCTATGCTCAATATGTAGTGCACTTCATAAATTTATGTACCATCAATTTGTTAAATGTAACGGTATTCAGGTATTCCTGGACTTGAATGAAAAAGATTTGAAAGAGACCAGGGCCTTGTTTCGTGAGGTAAGTTACTGTGGAGACTCTATTGACAAGTAGCTTTTGATATATCTGTAAATTTGATGCTGTATCTTGCCGGTAATCTTCTATGAATAGATTGCAAACTTTTTGGTACATCCAACTGAGTGCCAATCTTAATGAACATGCTTATGATACTCTGCACCCATATTTTCTGAAGTTGTACTTGAAATTACTACCTGTGATTATTTATTTAGGGGCGGAACTAGCCTATTTTTGAGAGGGGAGGGGGGATCAGAAGGGGCAAAAGACTAAATTGTCCTCTCATATAATTAAAGAACTAAATTTGATTTGGGAGAGCGGGGGGAGGGAGGGGGTAAGGTAATGATTTACGATACTCAAAGGTTTTTTTCCCCTTGTTATTCATGTGCATGGCTTCTTTCGGATTCACACAACAACGTGCAATAGCTTTTTACTGTAAGAGCAAATGACATACAATTGAATTTTACAATCGTGGTAGCATGGCATAACAACCATAATCATCATAGTAGCATAACCTATGAATTCATCATTGCAGTAGCATAATATATGGAATTATAGTCACAATAACGGATGGACGTATCAAATCATAAGTATTGACTATAGCTTAAATCAAATTTCATGAGGATAACAATAGCATGATATTCAATCATAGATTTAAATATTAAAAATGCAAAGTGATCGTTCATTTATGAGATTTTAAAATGATGTAAAATTGCATATATGATTCATAGCAATAATAAATATATTAAAGGATTTAAGAAAAATTATAGAATATTACATGCATAAGATTCTATGGAAAAACTGCAAATATGTTTCGATGCATATGCAACAAGTTTTTAGGAAGGGAATGATATTCTTATAGGGAATTGCATTTTTCCACCCACTTTATAATAGTTTTAATCTCAAGCTATGGCATGATATCTTTTTAGAACTTTCATCAACTCATCCTTAATCAGTTCGTATAAACCAAGCTTGGGTCACCCATAAAGCCTTAAACTTGAAATTGAATCACCTAATCCCCTATTACCTGTTTTATAGTTACACCTTCACACGAACTATGGTCATCTGAAGGACTTGCTTTTAGAAGATGCCCTTGTATATTTCTGTCTGTTAATCTGCATGGGATGGGCTAGGGCAATGAAATGCAAAGTAATATTTCAAGAGGGGAAAAACTTATGTTTCAGGAGGATCAAAAGGTTAAATTGCCCCTCTTGGACCCTACCTGGGTCCACCCCCTGCCTGTGAAATATATGTTGTTCTCATTGACTGGTAAGGTAATGCTCTAGGATATAAGTTCTCAAGGGTTTTCTTTTTTTTTTTTGTTTTTTCTTCTTATTCATGTGCATGGTTTCCTTTGCATTCACACAACGTGCAATAGTTTTTTTATTGTAAGAGCAAATAACATACAATTGAATTTTATAATCGTGGTAGCATGGCATAACAACCATAATCATCATAGTGGCATAGCCTATGAATTCATTATTTCAGAAGCATTAGTAGCATAACCTATGAATTCATCATTGCAGTAGCATAATATATGGAATTATAGTCACAATAACGGATGGACGTATCAAATCATAAGTATTGACTATAGCTTAAATCAAATTTCATGAGGATAACAATAGCATGATATTCAATCATAGATTTAAATATTAAAAATGCAAAGTGATCGTTCATTTATGAGATTTTAAAATGATGTAAAATTGCATATATGATTCATAGCAATAATAAATATATTAAAGGATTTAAGAAAAATTATAGAATATTACATGCATAAGATTCTATGGAAAAACTGCAAATATGTTTCGATGCATATGCAACAAGTTTTTAGGAAGGGAATGATATTCTTATAGGGAATTGCATTTTTCCACCCACTTTATAATAGTTTTAATCTCAAGCTATGGCATGATATCTTTTTAGAACTTTCATCAACTCATCCTTAATCAGTTCGTATAAACCAAGCTTGGGTCACCCATAAAGCCTTAAACTTGAAATTGAATCACCTAATTATCTTAAACCTGTTTTATAGTTACACCTTCACACGAACTATGGTCATCTGAAGGACTTGCTTTTAGAAGATGCCCTTGTATATTTCTGTCTGTTAATTTGCATGGGATGGGCTAGGGCAATGAAATGCAAAGTAAGGGGAAAAAATAATATTTCAGGAGGGACAAAAGGTTAAATTGCCCCTCTTGGACCCTACCTGGGTCCACCCCCTGCCTGTGAAATATATGTTGTTCTCATTGACTGGTAAGGTAATGCTCTAGGATATAAGTTCTCAAGGGTTTTCTTTTTTTTGTTTTTTCTTTTTATTCATGTGCATGGCTTCCTTTGCATTCACACAACGTGCAATAGTTTTTATGTTTTATAGTTACACCTTCACACGAATTATGGTCATCTGAAGGACTTGCTTTTAGAAGATGCCCTTGTATATTTCTGTCTGTTAATTTGCATGGGATGGGCTAGGGCAATGAAATGCAAAGTAAGGGGAAAAAATAATATTTCAGGAGGGACAAAAGGTTAAATTGCCCCTCTTGGACCCTACCTGGGTCCACCCCTGCCTGTGAAATATATGTTGTTCTCATTGAATGGTAAGGTAATGCTCTAGGATATAAGTTCTCAAGGGTTTTCTTTTTTTTTTTTGTTTTTTCTTCTTATTCATGTGCATGGTTTCCTTTGCATTCACACAACGTGCAATAGTTTTTTTATTGTAAGAGCAAATAACATACAATTGAATTTTATAATCGTGGTAGCATGGCATAACAACCATAATCATCATAGTAGCATAGCCTATGAATTCATTATTTCAGTAGCATAACATATAGAATTATAATCATAATAACCGATTGACGTATCAAATCATAAGTATTAACTATATCTTAAATCAAATTTCATGAGGATAACAATAGCATGATATTCAATCATAGGTTGAAATATTAAAAATGCAAAGTGGTCGTTCATTTATGAGATTTTAAAATGATGTAACATCGCACATATGATTCGTAGCAATAATAAATATATTAAATGATTCAAGAGAAATTATAGAATATTACATGCAAAAGAAACTATGGAAAGAACTGCAAATTTTTTTCGATGCATAAGCAATAAGTTTTTAGGAAGGGAGTGATACTCTTATAGGGAATTGCATTCCCACTTTATAGTTGTTTTAATCTCAAGCTATGGCATGATACCTTCTTAGAACTTTTATCAACTCATCCTTAATCAGTCCGTATAAACCAAGCTTTGGTCACCCATAAAGCCTTAAACTTAAAATTGAATCACCTAATCCCCCATTTAGCCAGATTTATAGTTACACCTTTACACGAGCTATGGCATCTGAAGGACATGCTTTTAGAAGATGCCCTTAGTATATTTGTGTCTGTTAATCTGAATGGAGACGTAATCTCATACGTAGTTTTAGTTTATGATGTTAATTTTTGCCTCTTTGTAAAATGCTTTTTAAGGTTTTATGCCTATTTTGTCAAATGAAGTAAAGTTTTGGGAAAGATGTATTTGGTGACCGCTATAAATGTCAAAGGCATTTCAACTTTCAACATAGCAATGTTTCTCTTATTCTTTCTTTATTATTATTATTATTATTATTATTATTATTATTATTATTATTGTTATTATTATTATTTTTTATTTTTTATCAGTTGTAGAAACCACAAATTTGTATCTTAACCGAACAGCTAAGCTGTAGTAAATTATAATTGGTGTTTAATTTGCCACGGTTTAATGATTTCTTTCTTATCAGTCCTATTTTTCTTGATTAAGATTAGATTAATTTGATTCTGTCGTCATTTTAACACATAGTTGGAGGTAATAAAGAGCAAAATCCAGACATGCACCGAAGAAAATTTAAAGGCGCTAAAATTTACTCAGAAGAATCTTATCAGCAAGGTATGGTATTGGTGATAACAGCATTTTGATTTTTCTATCTCTAATTTCTCACATGGTTTTCTTATTCTTCATACAGTTGAAGTAAACAATTAGTTGGTGAGTTTTTGTGATAACCTAGAAAATTCAAAACCATCTTTATTTCATGATTTATTTGTTTTTTTAAGAACTTTATCTCATAACCAAGTTTGATCTCTTCTTAACAAGGTATCATATCTGTTTAATGGCATTAAAATTCAACTTTTGCACTGCTACGAGAAATCACCAGGCTTTAAACAAAATTGTTTTAAACAAATGATGAGGTAAGTATAACATGAAGCAAAAACAAGGAATTGTTGGATAGAAATGTTAAAAATAACGATCCAATTAAGTGACATAATGACATAAGCAGAAGTGTCGCTTTGAGAGATGAGTGGTTTCTCAAAAAAGGAAAAAATAACTCTTATTTGAATCATAAAGTAGTAAATCTTAGTGACTAGTCCATAATGCTTTATAGCTTTAAATTCAAAAGAATAACATTAACTTTGGGCACTGGCATCCACAACAATAGGAAGTGGTTGAGGTGCTAACTAATTTGGAGGATCTGATGCAATAAGTCATTGATGACATTCATGGGTTTTGAGTCAACAAGTGAAGGCTCCAATGTTTTGATTTCATGTTATGATCAAGAATTGGTTTCATGCTTTGTGTGCAACCTTCAAATATATTACGCGGAATTGCATCTTTCACATATGAATGGTAGAATTTGTTCATAGGTATACTTTGTTTTTTCCTAAATGTGAGGATCAACGAGCCAATTTCATCAATTATTGGTGAGCTATTAAATATTTAGTGAGTTTATGACAATTTTGGCATGAATGCTTTCAAATTCAATCTTATGCCAATAGCCATATGATGATGAGCTAATCACAACCTCTTTATCTAGACAAACAAAAATATATAATTCAACCAAAGCTTTAGCTACATACAGTCTAGAAAGTTGAGTGATAGCTACATCTATTTGCAAATGTTTTCCAAAATAGAAATTTGAAAAAGAAAGCACATTGGTTGAAGTAGTGTAGTTGAAACCAAAGCAATGCAATTCAAATAGGAGTGATACGTAATTTCTTGGAATAGTTAAAGTGAGGAGGCCATGTTAAAATACGCATTTGGTAGCCACTTTTGTAGTAGGATTGATGTGAGAATTATTTAGAGCATTCTTTTTTTAAAGATAATCGTATAAGAATATGATAAGGATCAAGAAGCCCAATAGAATAGTTTCCAATCAAGTGCAGGCTAGACATAAAAGAATGTATGAGTAAAGATTGGGACATTCTAATGACAGCTTGCCCATAAAAGAAGACGATAAAGTTTCTAGTTGGGAATCTCAGCTTATATAAAAATAAGATTGGCTTAATCATGGAAAGTGGAAGGCCACTTGTGTTGAGCGTATGAATATTGTTAAAAGACCAAAAGGCAATAAATGGGCAATGGCTGCCGAGAACCTAAATTATTTGATCACCCAACAAATTTAGCGATGGATTGAAATTTGCAACCAACAACAAACAGCCACAAATGCTCTGAAAGCTGGGGAGGAAACTTAGGGAAACAAAGGCCACGAGATTATATTGGCAACGAAGTAACATTCCCAAGTATGGATTAACTTAATCCAAACCTCGAGGGGTAGTCGATGTGTCAAAGGAGGGGATTGTGTTGGAATGGGGGCAATGAGTTTGAATGCCAATAAGATTGAACCAAAGGGATCAATGATGTTAATGAGACCAGTTGAAAATGCCAACCATGAGCAAAAAAATGAAGAAAGATTGATGAATAGGGCTAGCAAGGATGACATTCCCGATTATGGATTTACGGTTTGGAATTGAGGTCAAGCATAGTATGATGACTCCAGAAAGTGTCAAAGACTAAGGAGTAACTTCTAACTAGAAAAGCAGGAGAGATTGGAATGGTGAACCACAGTAAGCAATGTAGGAGTAAGCGTTGAGAACCATTCCGGCAAGGGAAAATGACCAACTACAGGCTAGCAATCTACGACAAGCATAGGTGAGTGGTGGTTAAATGGAGTGTTTACTGGCATAAATTCTTCAAGGGGCCACCAACTAGCAAGGACACGCAGATTAGGGACTCTTGCAAGGGGTGAGCGAGTGAAGTTTTTAAAGAAAGCGTTAGGCAGTAGGGCTATTTGGTGGGAAATTTTGGCTTTCTAATTTACTGGACACTAATATTTTGTTAGTAGTGTATTTTCAGCTGGTATTTATTGTGACCTCACTATCTCTTTACTCATTTTTTCATTCTGAAAAATAACTCTTCCTAGTTGTAGATCTTACGTCTCAAGATTGTTGAGATAACTTTCATGTGTTTTTCAATGAAGCATGTGGTTTGGCTTACTTCAATGACCTCAGATTAAATATGTGGCTTTGTATGAGACAAGTATATTAGTTTTTTTATTTATCTCCCTCATTCAACTAGAACTTTATATTTGATTTCCTTTGATTTGTGTTTAATTCAATGGGCATTTCGATTAGCTTGCACTCGAACATTTCTTTTTCTATCAACATATTAAGTATGTATTTGTGTTGGGAGGTAATGTTACATTTTTTTCCTTCGGGTCAAATCCATTCCAATGAATTATTTGTTTTAGATACTTTGTTTTAAACTTCTTATTAAGTTTGTCAATTACTCTGTTTTTTCAATGGCTTATTAGTCGAGATTTTGTCATCAACAAAAATGATGGAAATATTTTTTTTTCTCCATCATGTACATTCTAGAAGAATAATGTACCATCAATTTGTCCTTAATTAAATTCACTTTCGGCCATCTCTATGAAGCGTGCAAAGCAAAACCTATGTGATTGCTTTAATAGATAGTAGGATTAGTTTGTATACTCTACTTTTTTTATTGTCTTCAAATAGGTGGCAAGTCCGTGTACATCTCTTCATCAATTGCCATTAGGTATCCATGACATCAAGTTATTTTAATTTCTAATTTAGATTGGCTGTTTTGCTAAATATAATAAGATCATATGGAGATTTTTTTAGCCTTTGTGGCTTATGTATGTGTGAAGTCTATCCCGAGGATCTAAGTAAAGCTTATGGCAATTAATTGGGCATTGTTCCCTTTTATTGTATGATCATACTTTTATATTTAAAAATGAAGCCCGTTAACAACTGCTAAGATTATTTTCTTTTATTAGTCAACTATATCCCTCATCAATTTTCTTTAAGTTGTCATTTCTTTTAATACTACAATTCTCCATCTTGGGATTGCATAGCTTAATTTTTTTCTAGAATTTCCACTTTATAAATGTTTTACAATCAAGGCTGACAAAGTTGGAAACAACCTAAAATAAGATAAATAACTTGACAAAAGATGAATTTAGATGAACTCTTATCCTAAGGCATTTTTTATTGTTAAGATCTCATTCACTGCAATTGGCTACTTATGGATTTGTGTCAAAACTTAATTCATAAATATGCTCATGGTTGTATGTTTGTTTTAAGTTTCTGATATATTTTTGTGTACACGCAATTTATTTTTTCCTTGTCTGTACTTCTCCCTTTGTTCCCAAATATTCTTCCATCAATGGCATTTTGCACAAGATTTCAGCAATATTTGTGGGATGTGAATAGAGAAATGTTTTGTAGGGATGAGCTGAGTATAGACGATCGGATTTGGTTGTGGACAAAGTAATAGAAAGTAAAAACTGAAAAGTTTCTAGTGATGTTTCAGATATACAGTGACTCAGTTGAAGCTAAACACTAGTTTTCTTTTCTTGTTCCTATTTTATGCTTGAACGTTGTTTTTACACAGCAAGTTAATCTCCTTTGTCTTTTCTACGATGTTCCAGATATACAATCACTCGGCTGAAGCTAAAATACCAGCTGTTCTTGATTACTTGAGCACTGTCATTGAGGTATGTTCCCACTTCTATGGGATTCCTTCATGCATAGTTTGGAATGGCTATCATGCTGACCACAAGTTGTCAAGTATGAGATTTAGGAGCGTTTTCACTTACAAATTTTACTGCTTAACTTTCTCAATCAAATTCTATTTTTTTTTTATAGTAGTTTTGAAACCCTTAAATGGAAATGTCTGCCCAACAACAGTAATAAATTAATAGTGCCCTGATATCATTATTATTATCGTTGATGGATTTTCTTTTGCACCTCTGTTGTTATGCAAGACCCAATTTGGTGTTCATACCCAAGTTTTTTCTTCTTGATTCAGGCAGATTGCAAATTCTTAGTATTTGCACACCATCTACCAATGATTGAAGCGATGCATCAATTTTTTTTGGTAAGATTTCTTTGCGTATGCCTGCTTATTACAAAAAATCATGCATTACATTGCTTGAAAATTCTTTGCAGAAGAAGAAGGTTGGTTGCATTAGAATTGATGGTAGTACTCCGGCAACATCAAGACAAGCTTTAGTAACTCAATTCCAGGAAAACTCTGAAATTAAGGCAGCAGTCGTAAGAAAAACTTTCCATTGTTATTTTACTACTTATTTATCTTACCAGGGTTAATTTTTTTTATTTATCATTGTCGTATTAGTTGGGATAAATAATAATATCTCTCCTTTTAGCCTTTTAGCTGTATCATTTTTGGTACTTAGATAAGTTCTTCAGCTTTCTATTCTAGCTGGAGGTGTTGGGATAAATCTGACAGCTGCAAGCACTGTCATCTTTGCTGAGCTTTCTTGGACCCCGGGTGATTTGATTCAGGCAGAAGATCGTGTTCATCGAATTGGTCAGGTATAGTACATAAAGTGTTCTCAACTTTCGTTTTGTTTCCCATTTTAAAATAAAGTGTATATATATATATATATATTAGTAATCAACATGTGTCGTCGTCGTCTCCCCTCTGCTAGGGCTTCGCCTCATGGCGAAACCTAGTGTCTGCTCTGATTTCCGCTTCACCTCCGTCGTCGGCTTCGTCTGGTGGAAGAGCTCGCGTCGTCTAGCACGACGATTTTGTCGGACTGCGTCGTCTGGCGTAGCGATTTCTCGCGTCGACTGATCTAGTTCGATAGCTCGTGTCGTTCGTAGGGGGTCCTCGTCCGCTTTTGCGATTCTGCGTCAGGCTGAAGGGCGTCGACCCAGCTTGATAGCTGCACCACGATAGACCCACGTCTGCGTCGTTTCTGCTCGAGCTAAACTCGCAGAGCTCTCGTCGTTCGCAGGGGTCCTCGTTAGCTTCTGCATTTCAACACCCAGCTTGATATTGCGCCACGACAGACCCACGACTGCATTGTTTCTGCTTGAGTTGAACTCACAGTGCTTCTCCCAAGGGGTTTCCGCTCTTGCTCCCTGTTTTCTGGATTCGAACTTTGCTCTCTTTTTGCTTTCTTCAGTGTTCTTAACACCGCACCTCCATTTATTGGGGATGGTTTCAGAAAAATCGTATGCTGCTGCGCTTGTGGGTATCCACGCCTCAGTTACACCTAAATCATGCTATTTTCCTCTTTTGTCTGAGTGGGAGGACGATAACAAGAAATCTGGTAGGAAGAATGGGAAGTCTGCTATTTTTTTTACAGAAGTTGAAGACATTCAACTTGTTTCCTTCTGTCGACTGAATTTGGTTGGGAAATTTTTGTATGGTCATCCCAAAATGGAGCTAAGTCGTAACGAATTTGAGCTTATGCACCTGGTTGGATAGTGAAAAATTGGACTGTTAGATGGAAGACACATTCTCATACAAATTAATAATGAAGATGATTACATGCACTTATTTGCTAGAAGGATAATCTGGATTAATAATAAAGCAATGAAGATTCTGAAATTATCTGTGGATTTTGACCCTCAGGCATAACCACCATCATTCCAGTTTGGATTCGCCTTTCGGGTCTGAAGTTTTATTTTTTTACTCAAAATGTGTTGTACACTATTGACTCAGCTTATGGTAAGCCACTCAAAACGGATACTCCTACTTTTAATCTTTCTCGTCTATCTGAAGCCAGAGTACTTGTTGAAAACTACATCACTTCATCTGCTTCTGAGGAAATTTGGTTGGGCACACAACATCATAAATATTGGCAAAAGGTTGTGATTGAGTCTTTTCCATCGTATTACTCGAATTGTCGTATGTTTGGTCACTCAAGTTATCAATGTCACAATCTACACCCACATCTCAGACCAAAAAAGCACAGAGCTCCGCCATAGGCTGTGATTTCATTTCCTCCTAATTAGCTCCAATTTATTAACACTATTGATCATCAAAAAGATACCCACGAAGACGTCACTATTCTCGTAGGTAATATAACAATCATTCAGCCGAACATTTTATCGTGGGTGAGAGGGAGATTCTTCAGACCCCACTTACCCTAGAATCTATCACTGATATTACAGGTGGCAATACTTCTACTGTTTCACTACCACCTCATCAGGTCGACAAGTTGTAAATGTTACTCAGACTCATGAGGAACATGATGTGCAACATCCTTTACCTTTCCGGCCAACTTTGGAACAATCTATTGATCAGATGAGTCAATCATCGGATGAAAAATGACAGATTTACACATCCATAAGGAAGAAGAAAAATGGAGACCTATTTGAGCTCAGGAACCCGATGGATGATACTTTGGTACTTCAGGCAATGGTACTCACCTTATCAATTTGTTAGCAGACTCAATTCTAAGAACTAGAGATAGAGGGAGGACTAAATTTGGACGTCCCTAGTACTTTTGCGCCCTTCTGTGGCTTTTTGGATTTTTATCTTTATGTAATTTTCTTTATTTGAGATTTCTGTGTGGGCTTTCTTTTAGGCCCTCTCATACAACTTTTCTGTAACTTTTCTGCTTTAATATATTAGCTCTTGGGTTTTTTCTAATATATATATATATATGTATATGTGTGTACATATATATGTATGTATAACCCCACGTAATCTCATGATTGATCACTGTTTTTATCTAGTTTCTCTATGGTCGCTTTGCTTCTTGTTCGAGTGCTGGTGCTTTATCTTCATCCTCATATTTTTTGTTATGGAGTTTCTCTACATACACACACTCTCTCTCTCTCTCTTTCTCTCTTTCTCTCTTTACTTGCACCTCTCTAAAACACTATTTTTAATACCATTCTTCTACATTTGCGCACACAAGGGCCTCACCAAAGCCTTAGCTTCTATTGATCTATGTGATATGCATTCCTTCTTGTGCCCAATCTTTTTCTTCTCAATGCCACCTCACCCAAGTGCCTCTCCTTCCCAAACTTGATTCCGTATGTCCCACTCCAAGATCACACAGATCTCTCTCCAACTTCACGTAACCTCTTTTGATGGCCCCTATTTTCCCTAATTTGTTGCTAGCATGAGTTTCACATTAATTCGTAGCACCCACAACTCTTCCAGCGATTTTCTCAAAAGTATGAATTTCTCTTAATTGGGATTGCCCCATCTCTGATATCGACTCCTTAAACTCATAACCCTTTTGGACATCCAGTACTAGTCCTGTTGATGCTCCTCTCAATGTCTGCAATACGGTAGCTCGAAGCACCATAATTTCATACTTTGTATTAACGCCCATTTACTCAGACTCACTGCCTTCTAAAACAGTTACAATCAACTCAACTGTAGTCTCCTTTCTACCGGAATCGTCGACGTCTCTTCCTCGTCGGTTGGAAGTTGAGAATCATCTCTGAAATCTTCATCTTCTCCTGAATCACTATTTATTCCAACTGCTCCCTAATTCATGAAAGTCGTTCTCTTTGTTATGTAATCTGATTCAATATGACCAAATCTATGATACTTGAAACGCTCCTGATAGGGACGAATTTTGGCATGCTAGTTGTTGTCTTTTGTTTTTTCCTCTGAACCAGTGTCTCCTCAATCAGTGTCTACCTGGATATTTTTCAGGGTAAAATTTAGTTGTATGATCCATGGTTTGAACAGTGCCTTTAAGATGTGGTTGCCCGACAATGTGGCCTCTCTACTTCTGAAGCTAGGGTAAGAGTTGTAGTGAGCTGGTAAGAACTTAACCTGAAAGATGAACCAAATAGTTATTTTACTCATCCCTTCTCGCTGTTGAAGAATTTTCAAATCCGCCCATCACTGAGATGCTCTCTTCCTTTATTTGTTTGTTGCTAGTTTCACCATTTGGTTCAGTGGGATGTTTTAGCGCTCAAAAACAAATTCTAAGGTCAAGAGCCACTTGATGTCCTCATCCGGATCTATGCGGCAATTGAAATATCACAAATCCAACTTTACTTGAAAATTTTGGCTTCTAATATATTTAAAGTCAAGTCTTTGTGACAGAGGTTATTCATCCATGACATTTGTATGGTGATTGAGATTCACTCTATTTTTTCAATCTAGCAAGTCACTTTTATGGCTACAAGTACCCCATCTAAATTGCCTCATCTCGAACGTGACAATCCTCTATTATAGTTGGCGGTTTTCCCACTCCATATCCTTGCTAGATATCTCCTGGACATTTCTTTGTGAGTTTCTCATAAACGACGTCATGTCATTTCCTCTCCACCCGGCTTCGGGTGATTATCTCCTTGGAGACATGACAAAGTTTTGAAAATTGGAAGAGGTTTTTTGAGGATATGAAAGAAAATTTTTGGAGGGTAGATGGTTTGGTTATTGTGGATGCTATAAAACCTTAGGATAGAACTAGGGTTAGGTTATCTCTGATATCAATTGATATCAGAGTTAATTCAAACCACAACAGGAAGATAAATAATATTACTAAAAGACAATTAAATTGTTACAACCAACACAATTAAACAAGAAAATACAGTAACACAACATAAGAAAACCCGGCTAAAGTGTATCTCAAGTGTGGTGGAGGTCGATTAGGTGGATCTAAATGGTTGGGGAGTGTGGTGGCATTAAAGGAATGCTAGTAGCAGCGAGGAGTAGGTGCAAAAATACAGGGCTAACAAACATGGTTGTTGTCCTGCATGGTGGCGGCGAGGAGTTGGGGTGGGTAGAGGTGGAACAATAGGAAGGAGGTGTTCCCTAGCTGTCCTAGACGGCAGCGGCGTGGTGGGAGGATAGAACAACAGGAACAAGTGGCAGTTTAGGCGGCAACAATGCCGAAAGTGAGGGGGAGTTGGTTGGATAGTGACGACAACGATGTTTGTGGGTTTAAACAACAGGAGCATGACACTATGGGTTGGAGGCACCTCTTAAACCATAGATGGGGCAAAGTCTTACATGGTGTGAGTCGCCTCTTGAATTTGTAGTGGCCACCTCTAGTATCCTATCTATCTGATGAATTATTTTGGATTAATAAAACTGACTGGTTAAGTGGGGGAGTTGTGAAAACCCCTTAAGTAGAATGAAGTTGAACCCTTTTAATCATCGAAGTGTTATTTGGTGTAATGATTGACATTTCTTCAGAAACTCTAAAGTTGAGTGTGCTCGTGCAGAAGCACTCTTGGGATGAGTGACCTCCTAGGAAGTTAACCAATGCGACAAAATTATGAAGTCATAGGCCAAAGCGGACAATATCTAGATGGTTGAGAGTTTGGAATATTACACTTATAGCTTTAAATGCATTGGAAAATACAATTAACAGATCATAAATACCTATAAAATTGTTATGTTAGATGTATTTGAATTGTTTTCCTTTGAATTATAAGTATGCAATAACTTTTATTTCTATTGTACAGCTTCATTGCCAGAGTACCTTATCGCCTTTTCATCTTGTGTATATAATAACTTTTATTTCTATTGTACAGCTTGATTGCCAGAGTACCTTATCGCCTTTTCATCTTGTGTATATAATGAATTTATTAGTGTGAATCTCCCAGATTCATTTTCTAGCCCTTGATTATTTGTAATTCCGTTCAAAATATTTATGTGCTGGACAACTGCTGAATAATGTTTTTATTCCAGTACAAACACATGTGACACGTTGATTTTTTTTTTTCTCCGATTACAGGCTTCTGTGATCCAGAGTCTCATTGGTTCATTTATTCAGGAATTTCATCCTCTACATGTGTAAAGCTTAAATGATATCATGCTTCAAAAAATATATATATTACTAAAGGATATATACTTGGTATTTAGATAAAAAATTTATAAAAGAAATGAAAATGCTACATCAACCATGCTCCTAATTTTTTATGATAAATAATAGGAAAACATTCTTTGGGTTTACCTTTTGGCACTTTTATTGTGTCAGACTTTACTTTTATGTTAATTCTTATAATGTTCAGCATAATTTAGAAAATATTTCCTGTCGTCTATTTCCAATTAGATTACGTTGATGAATAATATCTATATTAGACATCCTCAGATTGGTGCACTGGGGAAGTAGTGGAATCTGTGAATGTATTGTTTAAAATTTCCTTTTTGTGTAATGTAAGCATCTCGCTAGTTGCTGCTATTGCCCTCAAGGAGGAAATAATCTCCATCAAGAAACTCTTTATAACTTCTTTCTTGTTTGTCAGGTAACGTCAGTAAATATTTACTATCTTCTGGCTAATGAGACTGTTGATGACATAATCTGGTATGGCTGTTTCTTCTGTCAACATCTCTACTTAATAGTTTAATGCTTAAATTAGGTGAGAATTTGACAATTATTTTTGTTTTACAGGGATGTTGTGCAAAGCAAATTGGAGAATTTAGGCCAGGTTCTCTCTCTCTTTATATATCTATTTTTCGATTTCTTAGTTGCATACTCCGGCTATGTCTCTAGCCATGCCCAGTTCAACTCCTTATGCTGAACAGTGAACACCCAACTAGCTACTTCTTCCTACCAAGTTCTACCACAAGCTGTCCCTCTAATCCAGACAATCACGTCTAATCCCCATGCTTAATCCTATGCATAATAGTATAATTGTAAATTCAAACTTGATGAGAATCCAAATTAAGTACCTATACATACATTTCTTTTTGCTGTAGGGTAGACGTTCAATCGCTAAATTATAAGTACCCGTACATAATTTTTTTTAGTATGATGGGGAAATCCTGATGTTATGTGTATGCTTTTGTGTCCGAAGACCTGTACACGTATTTATTTGTTTGGCGAGGTACCTGACTTTCAGTTGTGGTACAAGCCACCCACACACGTACTTCTTTGCGTGTTGGGCAAACCTGTTCAAGCATGATTACCTCCCTATCCAGGGAGGGAATGTTGGAATGCTGCTGGATTTCAAATTGACAGACCTAAACTTAGCCTAAATACAACTTGAATTGAACTAAATATGAAAATTGCAAAATTTAAAATTAATACCTAAAGATTTTTTGCAATTTTAAGAACTTAAAGCAAAAGAAATTTTATAGCAAACTTACAAAAGATTTGTTGTGAACACAACAATTAGCCTACGAGCACAAACAAAATCTCTACACTTCAAATGAGGCATTCCTTCAGAACTTCAATTGAATAAGAGGGTAAAATGAACAAGATATCACATCAATATATAGATGAAAATGAGAATCTTATGGACCCTATCTAATTGCCATGAAAGAACTAGATATATTATTCGGTACTCGTAATATTCCCGCTTATCGCCCAATTCGCCACTAAATTTGCAATGTTATTGCAATATAGGGCATACAATCATATCTTGAAGCACATTGAGAAGCATGTTAATAATTTAAAATTTTGTTAATTTTATCATATAAGAAATTGAGGAAGATTTTCATCTTTATATTCACATGAAATTGTCAATTTTTTATCAATAAATCTATCTTAAGCCAATATTATCACTAGTACAGTATTTTTTAAAAAATAATAATGAGTTCAATCAAAGATTCGATCCTCTATAGACAGGGTAGAGTCAATGGAGTCCATAATAACAAATAAAGTCATCACTTTGACATGATCCTCTGTAAACGGCACAAAGTCGATCAATCAAATTCCTAGATGATTTCAACCAGAGTTTGTTCTCAAAATTAAGTTAAAAGTTTATGTAAATGAGTTTAATTATCATAATATTTAAACCTTATCCTCTGCAAGAAGTGCAACGTCAATTATGTTCAAATTAAACGATTAAATTCCTCGATGATGGCTTAATTGATTGAAAATTGATCTAATGCTTACTTTAAGGTCAATATCACATCATATATACTACTAAATTCACTTTCAGATTAATGTTGGCTAGTAAGGACATGGCTCGTGTTCTTTATCTGCCTGACTTGGTCAGTCGACTCTGCAAAGGCAAAATAGGTAAGACATGAGTCATCTGATCGAGTGGTTGCTGTCAAATAACACATTTAAATTATTATCATGTTTGTAGTACGTATGTTCCTCAATTGCTTTCTACATTTTAAGATATAAATCATAAAGCATATTTGACACGGTCTTCTTTTAACTAAGGTTGACTTAAATTAGTTCCCTTAGATAAGTATCCCCCATGTCTATAATGTCCTTTTCAATGAAGCAACCCCTGACTGCTGACGGGGATCATTTTGTCAGGTTGTTTCGACTATCTCCTCTAAGTAGACCAGTGTTAATGACAACCCGGGATGACGGAACCATGGGATCTTTCATTGAGTTCATCATCATCATTTCCCCCAAAATATACTTTTAAGCTCTAAGAGATATTAAAATTTCAAAGTTGAGAAATCTCATAGAGGTAAGTCACAACTCACAAGCCACAAACGACAGAGTGAGAGATAAGTACTCCTTTACAGGCAATAGAGTCGAAGGAATGCATGTTGCGACGAAGCACAAAGCCCTAACCCTAGCGTAGGGTTTTGCTCGAAGCTGCTCCCAACTTGAAATGAAAATCGAATAGTTGTGATTGGGGCTTAGTGAATAGAAATAGGATATTTATGACAACTAGATTTAGGTTTTTTTTATTAAAATATTTATTATTTAATAAAATTTAGTTATTTAATCTAAGTCCCTTTATGATCATATGGCTAAAATTAAAGTACTTAAAATAATATGATTTTAATAATTTAGTTTTTAGTTTTTTATAATTTAATAAATTTATAATTATTTTTACTATATAGTTATAAATTTTTAAATATAATTATTTAAAGTTAATTTTTTAATCGAACACAGGTTTGTTTGCGTTTGGCTCGTTTATAAACTGAATTCAATAAAATTATTCATGTTCGGCTTGTTTGTTTATCTAACGAACTGAACACAAGCTCCACAGCAAGTTGAACACTAATTGTTCGCGAACGATGAGCTTTTTTGACAGCTCTACTTATTTACAATCTCATTTGTCTTCTGAAAATTTCACTCGGAACCTTAACTAAGCTCTCTTGTCAGTGATTTTTTTGAGAGGCCAGGGCAACAAATTTTCAGAGCTTAGAGGTCCTTTGATTCCCCTCAATTGTGAAGTTATAGGACAATACTTGGCCACCTAAGCTCTAGATTAATCAAATGGTTCAAGTTGATCACCGCTTTACAAAAATTATAACTTGATATATAAAAAGATTTTGACCTTAGGGCTGATTGAATTTACCCTGAAAGTTGTACCTTTTCGGTTCGATCTGGCATGGAGGCATTTCTCTTATATTGCGTCTCGAGCTTTATGACTCAGAAGTCTTGTTTACCTCAATTTGCTTGTATCGCTTTTAAGTTTTTTTTGCAAGGGACAACTTTTTATGGCCCAGAGCCCCTCATTTCTTTATTTTATTTTTTAACGTTTGTTGTTTAAGGAACATTTAACTTTTGAGGCATTGCACTTGTATATTGTGATTTGAGTTTTATACGAAGGTTTTCTCACTTGGATGGACCTAATGGCTTGAAAGAGTTGCTATACCAACTTTTGTTTTGTGGCGTGCGCTTGAAAATCTAATGCTCAATCGAGTCAGATTTGTTTTGTTCTCGTAGAATGCTTGATTATTTTATTTATTGAAGGCCTACTAGTTGCCAAATTTTATGTTCCAAATATTTTTCATATAAGTGGCTGCTTATTTTCTGGAATCATTAATTTATGCGCAAATGAATTTTCATGTAAATTTCGTAGATTTATGCCTAAGATTGCTTCTTCTTCTTTTTTGTTTTTTTTTGTTTTATCAACAAGAAAATTGTGAGGTTTATTTATCATTTCCATATGGGGCAGGTACTAGATGGTGAGGAAAATACGCTGGAAGTGGCGTGCTCCCAAACAATGAGCAGCCCTGCAAAGCAGAAAACCTTGGACTCCTTCCTGAAACGTTGCCCCAGTTTTCCAACTACTTCCCCCAAAACTAAAATTCTAAAGTATTGAAAGAAACTCTTTTTTTTTTTGGTAACTAGTATGTATATAAGGTTTATTTAGTGTAGTATATGAATATTTATCGCTATCGTTTTGGTCGCTTATTTCCTCTAAAATATATATTTTAAAAAATCTATCCCCTAATATTAAGGTAAATGTTTTCAGTTCTCATTCGAAATTCCTCTTGCTTTATCAGTGGTCTTGAGCATTTTATACGTTTCGATGAACAACAGGAGTTCAATGAGGTTTTATAAAAATTACATTAAACTCATAACAATAGGGACCACAAGCAGGGTTGTAATTGAGCGAGTAAATCAGAGTTGACTTGGGTTGGTATAACTATAATATATTTGGCCATACTCGCCTTGAGTATCTGTTGAGCTTTACATATTGCTCAAATTTGTTTAAATTTTTGTTTTAACAATTTACTTTTTTTTTTCTAACAAATGAGTTACAAGTGAATAAATATTTAAACGAGCTAAAAATTTAAATCAATTTTTGAATTTTTATTTTTAAAATATAATAAAAAAAATACAAATATAATTTTCTGTAATAAATATATCCCCACAATGTCTCTACAGTAGAGAAAAAACATCGAGTAACTTACAATTTGAAATCATTCAAATTCATAGGACTAATTTAGAAAAATAAAAAATAGCCATCAAACATAATTAAAGAGATGAACAAAATGTGATGTTTACTCTCACTTAGAATTTCATGTTAATTTTTAAATAGTTAATTAATAATAAATAAAATCTATAAATAATAATTAATCAAAAAATATTATTGATATAAATATTATTATTCAAACTATAACTAAATAAATTTATGCAACTTAATTTTATTAAAATAATATATAATTATATGATCTGGGTTATGATTAAATTTAAAATAAAAAAAAATTATTCATGTTTGTATATTTATTAATTTAAACAAAATTTATTGAATCTTACACGGGCCTAGTTTGAATTATTCATGGAGTGCAATGATTAATTTACAGCCCTAATCACAAGTAATTACATATAAAGAGTGACCTCAAATATATACGTATAATTAATGTGATCTCAAAAGCACCTGTCATTCTTCAAAAAATTCATATTAATTGCTAAAAAGTTTTGCTATCAGACTCTCCCTTTAAATGTGAAAAACTTCTCAGCATATAAATTTTTTATGGCATTTACATACACCACCCAATTCGCACAGGTAATTGAATTGCATGTTATGTAAAAGCTTCCAAAATTATAGCAGAAGAAAAGATGGAGGCCCGCAAAATAAACAAACACTTTCACGAATACGTTCCAATAATTTTAATCCTTCATCAGATTATCAGATGAACTCCACCAAAGCAGCATTGATACAGCTCCCCCTCGCCTGTAGATCAACCCGATATACGTTAGTTGAAATTATAAGAGGCATTTACATACCTACCGCCGAAATCCTATGTATTTACATAACTAAAATTTATCTTTTACATTTTTTACCACGCAGAACTTTAAAATCACATAAAAAATACCACCACTTTTAACTTTTAAAAGGTGAATGAAATACACCTTCTCATACATAGAGGTGAGGTAAGGTGGCATGCATGTAAAAACTGAAGTTTAGGTGTTAAATATGTAAATACATAAGAATGGAGTGGTATGTAGGAAATTCAAATAGAAAAGAATCGGGTGGTATGCATGGAATGGTACCTTCACTCCAATGGCCAAAGCAGTTTTAAGGTTTAACAGGCCGCCCAATCTTAGGGAACCTCCTTTCCCATCTCTGACAAGAATGACAGGAACCTTTCTAGAGGAAGCCAACACTGGTATATGCTTCGTCAGCCACTTTGGATTGCAATCTGCAGCTACAAGCACTACCTGCAACAATTACATCATAAAGGTGCATATGCAGATGTGAGTGAAAATTACAGCCATCTGAGAAAACGTATCATCAAATAAAAGATTGGGCAAAGTTGGCTCACTGGCTCAAGTATAGCAATTTAACTTAAAATCTGAAGCAGCTAAAAAAGGAAATCCAACAAAGTCAATTGGGATTTTGAGCCAGGACTTCGAATAGAAATGGCTTTTAACAAGATACGCACCCTATATACCACCTTGAACATGCAAGAATGCCGGGCAAAATGAGAACATGAAGCAATTATTGATTTCATTTGATAGGTTAGACATGCTGATATACCAAAATATACTATTTCTTTTTTTATAAATTTATGAAAAGAATGACAGAAATAAAAGAATGAGAATCTAACTTATGAGAATCTAACTTCCCAAGTAAAGAGGCTGTTGAAGAAACCATCAAGTCAGAACTAGAAGAAATGCATTGCGCAAGCATGAGAAGGCTAAATAGATGGGCAACCCCTGCGTTCATGGTTTTTAATGATTTATTTGTAAGGCTAGATTACAATGAAATGAATATGGAAATGAACCTAGGCTAAATGAACTAATTGGATGGCATCCAATTACATCACATTTCAAAAAAAGAATTTAAATGCACTTGATTCTTCTTTTTTCATGCATAGATTGTAGATAAAAGTTTATACCATTGACCCAATTCACGGCATATATCTTAGACTGTTTCTTGGTGGCTAAAACGTTGGAAATACTTGAAATGGTCTTTCTATTTTATTGAAAAATTTTTCCAGGTACCCATTTTATACCATAGCACGCTTAAGAGTTAAGAACCTACATCAGATTAAAATGAAGTAAGCCAAGGAGCAGTTTTCCATGAGGTAGATTAGATTTGTCTTAACAAGGGTGGTGCATTATTTAGACAAAAGCAAAAAAGAAAACAAAAAAAAAACTTATTTGACTAGTTTTATTTAGTTGTTAAAAGTTGGTTATTGGTTAGATTTTTGCTTGGCAAAATCAATCCAACCAAAAACCAAATTATATTAATTTATTCAAATATTTAATAAACAAAGCCCAAGAACTATAAATAATTAAGTGAAAAAAGATCAACAAGAATATTATTTATTCTGCAAGCTAAAATTATAAACTTTTGCAAAAACTATTTGATATTCTTCTTAATATATGTTATTTAAGTTAAAAATAAGTAGGTTTAACATTAAAGCTAATTATATTTTGTTTTATCAAAAGCCAAACAAAACTGACCAAATATTATTTATTCTACGAACCAATTTATAAGTTTCTTTATAATATAAATTATAAAACTTCAAAAAAAAATTATTTCAATCGTCAAAACTAATTATATTTTGTTCCATACAAAATCAAATATAATTGCCCAAACTAAAGATTGGATTGGAAAATAATTTAGTACTTTCAATTTTTTTAAAATTTTATAACCAAAACCGGTTGGTTTAATTAATTCATAAACCAAACCCTAAGACTAAACAACCCTTAGTTTTAAACAGATTTTCCTAGCTCTAAGTTAAAACTTCCAATAGACATGAGCTCTCTGAATAAATATTCCTCCTGCTTAACAGAAGAAAAGTTTCATCGAAGAAGTTGATAGGCTCACTATAAGATTATATTTAACATTAGATTTTGAAGTTAATTAAATGAGTTGATTGAGAGTACGCATATACACGGTCAATATCCCATGATTCCATCATTCCAACTGCGCCAATGTACCCGATATGCCAATATTAGAGAGCTTTGGGTTGTAATGTTCAAGGAACCTAATTAGAAAACACGGACTGGCCTCCTCTTTAAAGGACACAATATAGCAATCGGAGTCGATATTTATGTGTCAAAGCCACACTTTCAAAAGCAATATCGAGTCAATTAAAAGTAGAGCATGGCCATTTTGGTTCAAAGGTATCAATTAATTAGATCGGCAGTGAACATAGCCACAAGTAGAGTATGGCTAATTGATGCTTTCACAAACTAATTTTATTGAGTCATTCAAAGGTGCGGTGCATGACCACTTGTGGTTCAACGATATCAAACATAACCAACAATATCTCAGACGCATGACGTTATCATTAATTATTCATGAATTTTAGCCTGCATCAAATAAGCATGTCTATGACACATGAGATTTTGATTATATGGTTTTAATTTTGATTAGCTAGCTCATTAACGTGGAGGTTGGCCCAAAGTATAAAAAATGTTAGGCCCTACACATATTGGAAGTCCCAATTAATTAAAATGGACTTACATTCATTAAAGGGGCCATTTTTTTATCAAAGGCTCGCTAGGGTTGTGTTGACCCGAATTAGTTAGAATGGAACCTAAATCTATTGAAATGCTAATAACTAGTATTTAAAACCTCTAAGAGGAAGAAAAACTCTGATGGATCTCACCACCTTACCATATAGGCGCAAATTACTTGAATTGATTCAGATTTAATTTGGTAGGCTTGATACCTTTGCATCAACAGTAATTGGGATCAAATAAGGCTTATATCCATAGAATAGCCCATAATAAATCATATAAGTTTGTTGTCACGTCTTTAATTCTGGGAGAGAGTTTGGCAAGTGGGAAGTTTCGGAGAAGAAAAGATACAATTAAAGAAAGATTGAGTAAGACAGTTCTAGAGGAAGGCTTAGCAACGGTGACAATCCATAAAGAGTCGCAGTTAATTGCAAGAGGTATTGTAAGGTTGTGCATGCTAAAAATAATCGATGGGAGGTTCAGAAAATGGGATTTGAGATCTATCTCACCAGGAGGAAGAGATATAACAGTATTGGGTGTGTGAAGGGAAGCTCAAATGAGAAGCAATTTTGGGTTCGTGAGTTGATAATAGGAGAGACAATAGAGAGGAGATCAAACTGTGCGATAGGAAAGCACCTATGTAAATTTCAAGAGGGGAAGACTAAAGGATTTTTCAAATTAGAGAGGAAATCGTGTCTATATATATACAGGCGGCAAAAATCGCCTATTTAAAAAATAAATATAAAATAAAATTACATAATTATTTATTTACTTTTTAAAATAAAGAATTTTTAAACAAGATTCTCTTGTTATATAATATCTTTTATTAAAACTATTCATTATTATTATTGTTTACTATTACCACATAATTTCTTTTTATTGTAATATTTATTTTTAATTATTTTTTATTTTATATTATATTAAAGATAGCATGTGTGTAGATACTCCAGTAAAATTTTTGTTTCTCATGTGTGTCAAACTTTAATCCTCCTTTCACAAAGTATCTTGAGTAATATAAAGTCCTTTTCCAAATAATTTTAATGTCCTGAGCTCACTAACATCTGAAAAAATCTTCTCCTTACAGACAATGTTAAAAATATTTTCTCACACTCGAGAGACATAAAAAAATAATGTTTCCAAAGACATCTAGAATATCTTCTTCCTAACAACTTATAATTTTTGTAAGAAAGAAATAATAAATGCTTTCTAATAAAGAAATTAAAAAAAAAATACAACTTAAAATCATCTCTCAAGTGCATTTTTGGATGCACAATTACAGGTTCATAAAGCATTGCTCATTAAAAAGGAGAATTTTGCACAAAACACTGCTCATTAATAAAAAAAAAAAATAAATAAAGCTCAAAACCTCAGAGATGGGCTTTAGATTTATTTTGTCAATGTAAGTGTGGCTTAGTTGCTTATTCTATACCCATTTTCTTTTCTTTCTTTAAATCTTGTTATCCTCTTTACCATTTATATATATAATTACATATAAATGAAACATACTAAGTTATGACAGAGAAATGAGTTCGTAGAAAAAGACGACAACACTAAGCTAAAACTACGCTTCATAATTATAACTAAATGAAAGTTAGTTTAAAACATAATTCTCTAAAAAATATAATATAAGTCTTAACAAATATACTTTTTTGAAATAATAATAATGAACACTCACCTGAAGAGGCACCAATGTAGATCTTCTAATACTATTGTTCGAACTACATGAAATTTCATGAGCATCTCTTGCTGTCTCGCCTAGAGGCATCCTCTCAAGCAATCGGGTAACATCATTAACTCCAACTGCAAACTGTTGCTGCACACAGCCAAATTGGATTGTTAAAAAGCCAAACCTACATCACAACGAAACTCTCCACTGCATGGGCATTTCCATACACGCCACCCAATCCTATGTATTTACGTATCTAACACATAAACTTTGCTTTTTTACATGTATACCACCCAAATATTTCATATGACATTAAAAGAAATACCACTAACTTAACTTTTAAAAAATAAATAAACAATTTCATGCAAAAGAAAGGTGGCATATATGTAAAAATTATAGCTTAGGGCATAGATATGTAAATATATTAAAATTGAGTGGTATTTATGTAAATCTTCCAAAAAAATGCAAATAGAAATATCAAACCCCTTCTTTAAGAGTGGAAATTTTGTCATTCAAAACAAAATAACCTTGATCCATATTTTATCAGGCAATTCTCCTCTTGCAAGCTTAGCCAACTCAATGCTCCTAAAAAAGAGAGGCAATGAACTATGTAGGAAAATTGACACAAGATGCATGGCCTATACATAGAGAACCCCATATTTTACCTCCAAATTACTTCAAGTAGGCCATCAAGTCGTTGTCCTTCATAAGCATCTACAATCTCCCTGTTCAAATCAAGCTCTATGGGGAGGGGGGAAAGTAAAAAAATAATAATAATAGAAATCTTGAATAAAGAGAATATTTCATACTGTTCTTGAACTTCCTTGGAGGTTCCGAGAGATCTACGAGATTTCTTCTTCCTCCCCATATACCAAAACTAAAACCCTAATTCCGAAATCTCAAAGTGCTGGTATATCCAACTAGCAGATAAAATGCTAGCAAACACCAGCTCAGAAGTCTGCCAGGCCATTTCAAGGCAAATTCAAAGAGGATGAAACAACTGATTAATGTTTTTGAATATTCAGGTTTATAATGCAGATGCAAAGTTGCACATTAGAGAAAAAAAAATTAAAATAAATGAAAATAAACTGAAATTAAAACTGCACTACAAAATTTAAATCACTCGAGACAAGCCTTTCTTGAAATGAATCTTCCCCAAAGAAAGAATGCCTCATCAAAACTTATGAAGCATTAAGCTACTAATAACTCTAATACATATTTGCTAATATGGAACCGTGCATATTTGCTTGAAGTTTAATCTAAATTCATTAAGCTTAAAAAAAAAGAGACTTTGATGTATTGTTTTAACAAGTATTATATATTTTCAAAAGATTTTCTTAAGAAGTTTATCAGGTCCTTCTGCTTTTGCTAAAAGAATACATAAATTCAACCAACACTGTTAAAGATCATTCCACCTCAGGATTTATTTATATGTTCTAAAATTCAATGAAGTAGGTTATAGCTATGGTACTATAAAGCAGGGGTTTCGTGCCCCCATTTAATATCACTAAGATAATCAAAACTGTTTAATTTAGATTGTCAACATTGTTCAATTTAATTCTGTATAATATTGCTTATCCAAAGCTAACATCAAGCAGTTAATGTAGAGTAATTGATGGATAACACACCAAATCTCATCCCTAATATCCAATATTGATTCTACAAAGAAGATTGTCTGCATAATGTCTAACCGAGAACCATAGAAATGAATAACGAACAAAAACAATCTCTAAAAAACTATATTTAACTGTCATAATGCTGAACTCTAAACTATAAATCCTGATTTACTCTAGATCAAACGCCCATAAACTAATTATTATATCCTGAAAAGCAAAATATTGCAGCAAAAATAATCGCCAAACGGAGCCTAGCCGAAAAATTAAAATTTGAATTAAACAAAAATAACACTCAAATCTCTTTGACCATAAGGCCTCTATAAGAAGCCTGAAACACAAAAAAAATTGATGGCCAAGGTCCTCATTGCTTCCTAACGATTGCATCGTTGTTTCATCCTGTAATGAAATATCCATACAAGGCAAACTTACTTATACATAATTTAAGCTAGATTCAGCTTAAATCCTGCAAAAAAAATTTGGGGAACTTTAAATCCTACTGTTCATATAAATCCCGTTCCAACCCCATCATTGGTTGAATCTAGGATTTATTAAATCCCACATTCAAAGGATAAAATGGATTTAAGGTTTCCTCATATCACAAAACCTAATAAATCTTGATACAAATAACCCAATAATTAAACATAACATGGCAGGATTTAACAGCTGGGAAGCCAGATACTTATAGAAGGTTTTAATCGTCTCGTGATTTACTAAGAACGGATTAACTTAATGATATGGAAACGAGCATGCAGAACAATGGCAGTGATAGAAAAGGAAATTCGAAGCAACAGCAGAAAAATCGCATCCTTCAATCCTTATCGCAAAAATTACTCGCATCCTCTTTTCTCCTGAAGTATAAGCTGCATCAACAAACTTGCAACCCTTAGGGGCTGCCTGGCAACGGATTCAGAACAGGATTAAAACTGGATTTAGGCAAAATCTTGCCAGACGGCCATTTTGGACAAAATAAAGCCGCAATTTGATCAATCCGGCTTTCACGGATTTCGGCTATAAATCCAGATGTTCTGCGGATTAAGCAAATCCTGGAAGATCGAATAAGAAGAATGACACGAACATTTTTACCTTCCTCAATGGTTTCTGGTAAGAGCGGAGCGGAGCGGGAAGGAGGAGAAAGATGGAGTTTCGGTGGGCTCAGCACGCCTTGATGCCGTCGTTACCTTCCAAGCTAAGCTAGCTCTAATCGCGACTGTATCGCGAGGGTTCTCACGAAGGCGAGATGGCTCCGGGCGAAACCGGCAGAGGGGGTCTGGGGAGGGAAAAAGTCACACAGACATAGACATAGACATAATAGACATTGACGAGGTTTAGGGCAGGACGTGAAGGGACCGAATTCCCGCCGGAGAGTGAAGCTATTAAGTTTATGTTTATTATTTAAAATTAATTTACATTTTAACAAACTACTTATATCTATATAACTTTATACATTGATGTTTAATTAATAAAAAAAATTTAAACTTACATATTCTATTTTCATATATTTAATAATTAGTATTAATAGGTGTTAATTAAAGCCTATGTTTTAATTTAAATTCTCAAATGAATTTAACCATTTTGACTGCAATGCACTTATTTTGAGCAATTTAATATTATTAATGAATTATTTTAGCAAATTAAGTATCGATATCCTTAATTAAAATTTAATTGACATTATCATTAATATATATCTAAAAATTTTACTCATTGAACTTTCGAAGAATTAAATTTGGCATGCATCCATTAATTAAAAAAATTACGTTAATAGTTAATATTTAGTTATGCGACGTTAAATAATTAGAATATTAACTTAAATTCATTTGATATAATTGATCTAAATAGAGCTGATCGGTGTAAACTATATATAATTAAATCTCACAATCATAACAATCATTAGATCCTTTAATTTCATCATAAAATGATTTTCAGAATTTGAACTCATACTAGAACAAATTTATACCTTCAAATTCAATTTGTTCATAATCAGCCCCTTCTCCTTAATAAAAGAAAGAGGTTACATGCATACCACTCAATTCTTATGTATTTAAACATCTGAAACCTAAACTTCAATTTTTACAGATAATGCCAATTTAAGCCGCCTATGCATGAAAATGTTTATTTCACTTTTTAAAAGTTTAAAACTAGTATAAATTTTAATGTGATGTGAAAGTTTAGGTGGTACAGAAGTAAAAAAAAAATTGAAAATTAAGGTGTTAGATACAAAAATCCATGAGCATTGGCTGCTATGCATGTAAATGTTCATAAAAGAAAAGACATCATACAGCAAATACAAAAATACAGCAGGATTTTAAGTTTCTGAAAAGCTTATATTTCTATATTGTTATTAAATTATATAGTTAACACGAATAAAAAAAATCTCTAAACAACAGACGGTCCTGACAATCAAACATTTACAAAACAAACCAAAGGAAAAGGCAAAAGGCTTATTATGTAATCCGATTTTCTAAGCAGCAAGAAAACCCAAATCCACGTTGTTATCGCCCAAGAAATTGGCCACAATGGCGCCTACATCCTCTAAACCAACACCAATGCACAGAGGCTTCTTAGAAACTTCCAAGAGCTCGTCCTTTGAGCCGCAATGAGTCACAATTCGAACATTCGGTCCCTCCTTGCATTTCCCCATACACTTACAGCCAACTACAGCGCCTTCTTTGCCCACCTTCTTCTCAAATTCCTGCAACAGATCCATGGCACCGGATTTCTTGCATTTTCCACCCATGCACACCTCGATTTTATCCAATGGTTTTGTAGCTGCTGTTATAATGTCACTGCAACTAACAACTGCGACAGCACTTTTCATGCAATTACTACTATTGAGCTCTGATTCCATCTTCAATTCGGTATAATTTAGTTCAGTTTTCTCATCTGCTTCAACAATTGGAGATGGCTGATGAGGAAGACACAAGATGTTCGTTTTAATTTCCTCCTGGAGATGTTTCTTTGGTTTATTTGACACCATAAGTTCTTCACACTCACTGTCGCTGGATTCAGATGAAGAGCTTGAGGAGGAAGACATTTCTGCACAGTTACGCATCTTTGCAGCTTTCATGGCTTCTTTCTCTGCTTTCATCCTTTTCTTCATCTCCTTCTCTTTCGCTTTCTGTTGGTTGAGTTGTGCTGACAGGAGTTCTGCTGCTTCCTGTGGTATAACAGAGGTTTAACAACAGAATGCTCATACTGGATGGAAGCATGATTCATTATTTTTTTCGCAAGCCCAAACTCCCAAGCTTGCCAAAAATAAAAAATAAAAATTCCGAACTTATAATTTGATTTTATATTTCAAAAAATATAAAATAAAAGACAATTTTAAAGCACTTAGTGATAGAAAATGGGTGGAGGATGGAGACATGTCCGCATAGCGTGGAGAAAGAGGAACACTTTACAACAAAAGTAAACACACTCAAAAACGACAAAAGCGAGACAATTTTTTTGTAGGAAAGGTCTATTATTGATTAATTACATTAATTATCGATCCTAAGCTTTTTAATGCAATTAGCAAATGTGTGCAACGAAACAAGAGGAAACTGAGGTGCACGAACAATTCAGATAGAGAATTCATTACAAGTATTGGGAGCTTTACTCATCTTTCATGCAGATTTCATATGTCCTTGAGCTCTTCCGTTTGTTCTTCCTCCTTAATTTTCTACTGTCTTTGGCTTCTTTCCTCTCTTCCTACCTTGATGACCTCCTTGCTTCCTTCAATGCCCCAAAAACCCATTCTTCGTATAATAATCAGGTTGATCAAGCGTTGGAATTTCTGAACCAACCTGATGCGGAAGCATGGTTATGCCAGGGATCCCGCAATTCAGTCTCAACAGTCCGCAAGTTTTATGGAATGGCAAGAATCCCGCAATCGAAGGATTTGAAATACGGTGCCAATCTCCAACTTCCACTTTAACTTTTTTTTCCTTTTTGATTTCTTTCCTAATTCTCTATTTCTAATTAGATTATTTTTTTTATGAGGGGACTATTTATATGTTATATTTTCTATATTTTTTCAAACTTTTGTTTTGTTTTTAATATATTATCAACATTGTAATCTCTTATTTCCTCCTTTAAGAGTTTTGTATCATCTTATTTTTGCAAGTGAAGTCTGGATCTTGCTTGGGAGCAGGAGGTGAACCTCCTCATTGCTCGAACCTCTTCATTTCATGATTTTTGTTGCTGTTTTCAGCCAGGACAGCCACTGATCGACAAATATCTCACTCCAAACGCCATCAAACTCGCATATTATCAGTCCATTGCCGCTCCACAACTGCCTTCAGGCCTCAAATTGGAGGCCCATTTAAGACTCTGTTTCGCGCGGCTGTTGATTATTCATAATCTGATAAGCAGATTATTCTGATAATCTGATAATTTGCAGATTATCAGAATAATTTGTCTTGCTGTTTGGGGCAGCTTATTCAAGATAGCTTATTGGTGGTTAAATGACATTCATGTCCCTCGGTGATAAAATTGTTTGGGGCAGCTTATTCAGAATAGCTTATTAGTAGTACTGAAGCATATGCAGAAACATGAAATCATCACAGATCATAACTAAAAAATGTCATACATTTCTCACACCCTCATGAGTACCAAGAGAACTAAAAAAAGTACAAATAAAAGTACAACTACAATCAGAAATATTAAAATGTTTAATTTCAGGCTGGCTACGTCTGGCCTCATCTGCATTGTCAAACTGAGAAAACACCGGATTCCCATGACTGCTGGTGGGCCTATCACCCCACCAGAAGAACCCGCAACGAGCTGAAACACCCTTAGCACAACCGTAGAACTGTCTCCCAAAGCTATGAGACCCAGATGACTGACGCAACAGGAGGAGCGAGTATTAGCATCTAATACATGCGTCAGAATTTTCGAACGCAAATATTAGTCTAGAAGTCATGTTTCTATAACTATGAAAAAAAAAATTATTAGTACTTATCCAAATAAAATTAGTAATTATCCAAATAAATCCAAATAAAAGTAAAATTGACATTCAAAATTAATGTACAAACAGAGAAAAGATTTGTTGGACTAGCTGTCATATATAGCATCTGCTATAGACTCTCTCAGAGCAGTCATCTCAACTGCACCCTCACCGTCCTGAGTTTCATATTCAATCGAGTTCATCTCATTATCAGCTAGAGATTCTGAAGGTTCTAGAGTGTCAATAATTTCATCATCATCAGCCATATTGAAGTCCGTATCTGAATGAGAGGAGTGACGTCGGATGAAGTTGTGAAGTGTCATGGTGGCCAGCACAATATACACTTGTTTAGGAAAGGAATAGGATGATATATCACGTAGAATTACTCATTTCTTCTTCTACACCCAAAAAGTTCTTTCAATAATCCCCCGTAAAGCGGAGTGTCGTTTGTTAAACATTTCTTTTCTGCCACGAATATTGTCATTTGCTCGCTCAAAATCAGGAATATGGTATCTTGTGTCTGGATATGGCTTCAGGTAGCCCCTTAACATCGGATATCCAGCGTCTACCAAATAATACTTTCCTGTTATTAAAGACAATACTAATTAAAAATAATTAATGTAATTATCGAGAGGTTTAAGTAAGATGAACAAACCTGGAGGTGGGTGAGGGAAACACTGTGTTCTATTCTTAGTTGCATAGGAGAAAAGGCGACTATCATGCACACTTCCTTCCCACCCCGTCATTACAAATGTGAACCACATGTTGAAGTCACACATTGCCTTGACATTTTGGGTAGTTGTACTACTCCGACCAATATACGCGATCCTCTCGTGACTTGATAGTCTGACATCTACATGAGTCATCAATTGCTCCAATACAATTTTGTTAATCATAGTTAGCAACTGAAGAGGTCAGTAAGCTAAAGTAACAAAGTAATAATACTTACTTTGAAATACGACATGTAACGAGAATCATTTGCAATTTGTTCAGGAATAGTTGCGAACGATGCATCCGCTGGCTTAATGATCGGTGTTGCTAAGCTCACAAGTGCTTGTAAACCTTTGGAAAAGTATCGATTAATGGTTTCTGATGAATGTTTAAATCGCTTCATAGCTGATCTAACTGATTCATTCTGTGAGAGCATGTATAATGTATGT